CGTCTGGAAAGAGATGGGTGCATGAAGATGAGACATGTAGAGTCATCAGTGTCTAGAGGAGGGCATCTAATGAGTAGTTGCTTGCTGGCCTTTATTGTACTGGAGGATGTCAGGTGAAGGGAGCCAATTCAGAACGGGAAGGAGATGGGTCTTTACAAAACACGCAGTTAAGTTAGGAAACTCCTTGCCACAGGGTATTATGCATTATGTGAAGGTATTAAAAGGTGTCACTGTGTGCTTTTTCTGCTCTTGCATATCCCGCTTTGGCTCCTTTGGAGGTCGGATACTGGTCTTAGATCTTTCTTTGAACTAAGTAGAGCTATTAGGTTTTTGAAGTAATTGTTGCTTTTTGATCAGTGCTAAAACTTGATAAAAATATGGTAAAGTCCAAGAAACAGGTACGTCTTTTGGGATTGGAACATAACAGTATGTCAGTTACTGTATCAAAGTAGTTGGACACCCGGAAAAGTCTCTTAATGCAGCTCTTCCTGAATTGAATACTAGTTGAGGGGAATTTGTTAGTTACTGAAAGTTCTACTTACCATGCTAAACGGTAAACTTTTCTAACTGTGGTTGTCATGCTTATTCCAGTAAACCATATCGATACTGGGAAACTGAGTCCAGGGTAAGTTTTCACAAAGAGGCTGCATTGTATGGACAGTGCATCTCAGTAACGGGTGTATGTTGTCATACAGGTTGTGAGAGATTTTCCTTACACCTTTAGATATGGATCTACTTCCAGAACAATGGAAACATGACAGGCTCTCTCCACACCCATTCAGTAATGTGCTGGGGGAAAATGAGTGCCAGCAATATAGGAGCATCAATGGAAAGAGATTTCTGTTAATTTTCTTCATAAAGCCCTTTGTGAAGTTACTGTTTTTAAAAACATGATGTGTAGGCCATCTGGCAGATATGGTGGGGTGGGAAGTTTGTCCTTCCTTTTATCTCTATAGTAAAAAAAAAAAAAAAAAAGGCTTGCTTATGTTTCATTCTAGCTGCATATTGACTAGCTTAAAGTGACATCTGTTTAGATTATTCCCTTGCACCAGAGGGAAACCTGCATCTTTGTTCCCATTGCTGCTCTGCCTCAGATGTAACTGAGGTTGCCCAGTGTGAACCCATCAAAGTGATCTTCCATGCTGCTCTCCAAATTTCAGTGAGGTCTACATCTGCTCTGCCCACTGCTGCAGTCCTGCAGATGAAAAGACAGGAACATCTGTCTGCAAGCATGTTTAAACACTGTCACTATCTTCTCTTACAGCTACGAGCCGGAATTGTTTCCTGGCTTAATCTACAGAATGATCAAGCCAAGAATTGTTCTCCTTATTTTTGTTTCTGGAAAAGTGGTTTTAACTGGTAAGTGAAGACAGTGTCTTATTCGAGTAGGTTAGGTTTAGACTGTATTACAGAGAACACACAATGATGCCATAGCTATGTAATTTGTTAGGTGCTTTCCTTTAGAGAAGACAGTACTGAGAAGGAACAGATAGTACAGTATTCTGTGCGTGAGAATGCACAAAATAAACCACATGTTTGGCTAAGTCCATGTAAGCAATGATTGTGAATCCTCATCAAGTACGCAGGTGCCCAAAAAGCTCTTAAGAGTGCAGGTAATGTTTCTGGCAAAATCTGAAAGTGTTTCTGTGTTCTGGGTGTGTGCGTGACTGAGCTAACTGTTCTTTCGTAGCTCCTTTGATACAGCAACCAAAGAAGGGGAGGTATCTGAGCTCTAGGACCTCCTCAACCTCAAGGCACTCCACCTACACCTTTCTTTTTCCCCTCATGCTGAGCCTTACTGTGAAAAAAAACCCCACAAGAGTCGCAAACAAAAGAAAGGAGCATGTCACTGCAGTATGGCAAGTGGCAGGCCTCTGCAGCGGTCTCCATTGCCAGACCTTGCTCCCCAGATGTCCACACCCTCAACAAAAGCTCAACCAGTTAGGACTTTCTGCAGAAACCTCCTGTAGGGTTGTGCTTTGTAGTTGGGTCTCCTGCAGAAATTATGTACTGAGAAGTCCCATTTGCAAGTATAGCATAAGCACGAAGATGCTACTTAAAGTTTTACCAGTTATGAGAATAAACAGTGAGAAGGCTGGTAATGTTCGCTCTAAATGAAATGTGTATAAAAAAAAAGAGATCGTAAAAATAGGGATTTATGGATACACATAGGTTTTATATAGAGTCGCATTCTAAAAGCTAAAATAAGTATTTGGCAAAAGGTACAAACTAATTCCCTCTCTTTCTAGGTGCTAAAGTACGAGCAGAAATCTATGAAGCATTTGAAAACATCTATCCTATTTTAAAGGGATTCAGAAAGACAACGTAACAGTTTCTTACACCTTTCAGAGAAATCAGAGGTATATTTTAAAAGGTATTGTGTATGGCACAGCAGTAACAAGCGATGGACTTCCAGTGTAACTGCAACACCAGGACTTGGACTATTTCCCAGTTAGTGCCTACTTCCCTGATGCTCAGTGGGAACTGTATTATTGATTATGTCTACTGAGTTACTGTGAGTTGCTTTACTGGGCTGTTCCTGGAGCAGTCCCTCCAAGTTTTATTTATATTCTAGCTTTTAAATAGTTTTAATGCCAGTTCTATTAATAGCAAATCCGTAAGTTGGTTTAAAAGACAAATGCAACTGTGTCACTCAGTGTATAAACCACTTAAATTACCATGTATATATGTTTTAACTTCCTTCCGTAAGACCATGGTTTTTATAATTTTCAGAACTTAAGCTTTTAAATTTTTTCAATTTTAAATTTCTTTGGTGCCAGACACATTCCCTCTTTCCAGTATTAAGCAAGACAGAATAAATTTATTAATTAAAATGGCTCACTGTACATATATATGTAATATATACCTTCCTTCTCTTTCGTCCTTCAGCTCCACATGTACAATAAACCCTGTTTCTACAATTATGGGAACTGTCTTAATGAATTTTAAAATTGCCCAGCTGGTAGAGTGAAATGCAGTGAAAACTCTTTTTTAATTTAATATGGATTTTTTTCAGTAGCATATGCACTACTGTAAATGACTTGTCATTTTGAGGAATCTTAATGCTCTGGTTTGCTTACCAGCAGTCATATCCTTTTGTTAAAGCAAAAGATAGGACTGGTTAAAGAAGTTTGTGTTCAAGTATGTGTTGCCTTATGTTCAACAGATGAGATTTATGCAAGTCTTAAATAGCTACACTTGACTGAATTGGAACAAAAGATCCCTGCTTAGTTTCTAGAATTTCTTTAAATTACTACTTTTGTATTTTACCAACTATGCCAGTTTCACTACATTAGCGTTCCTGTAAAATGTCAAAGCCCTTCCCACTAGAGTCAGTATGTACATAATCTTTCCTCTGAACTGTGCTTGAAGCTTAACAGGCTGCGAACTAGAAATAAACATTTTTTTCTCCAGTAAGTTTACAGTAATAGTAACCTCCTTTCTATGACTTGCACATTCTTTCAAACAGCTTTTATCTAAAACTAACCCAAATGTAACCATGGTCTCTTTATTTACTAAGTTGGCGTTTCATTCCAGACAAAATAAAGTTTTCGGCTAGCTTTGCTACTGCTCTGTTTGCAAATCCCGAGTGACATTAATCATTAGTCTTCTCTACTCTCCCCATAGTGGCATACACCAGTGTTTCTCCAGGTGCTTTAATGATTTCTTTCATGGATCTTACCAGAAAGATGATGTTTAATAATGTAGCTTTATCAGGGTAAGTTCAAGATACCCAAACACTGCATCACCTTCAGTGCCAGACCACTCTCTGCTGTGAGCTAGTGAACATTCCCAAGTGCTCTTGAAGATAACTGTATGACTGCCTATGCTTTTGCAGGACCCTGAACTATTACCAACTTCTCTGCAAAAGTTGTAACTGCAAGAAAACTTGGAGCCTTAAGTAAGTGTGGGATGGTTTTGAATAAAATCAGTGAAGCTGTACTATAGCAACTTAAGATGCCGTTTGGTGTTCCATGACACGTACCAAGGCTTAAAACTACCCTTTTAGAAATTAAGTTCTGTGATGATCAAACTTTTAAGTATTCCCTGCCTGCTCGTTTGAGTATTTCCAACATCTAAATTAATACAAAAAAAACTCAATAGCGGGCTTAGGGCTTTCAGAAAATTACCTTTAGAATCACTGGTAAACATGCATGAATGGTTTGAGCAGGATCAGGGAATATGTAACTGAAACAAGTTCTATACTAAGACACAGTATATACCTTGGCTATATGGCAGTCAACTATCGGAAGAATCCCTGCAGAGGGTACTTATTTTTAAACTTCACCAAAGATGGCAGACTTAAGGTACAATTCAGCTTGAAAATCTGCTGCTAGGGGCAGTAAGTAACAAGACAAACATGTTCTGGTAGGGCTGGCTTTGTTTAAATTGCTTCTACACCAGTTCTATGCAGGAATAGTTTAACTCAGGTAATAGTTATAAGTAAGTCAGATAAAACAATTTTTGTGCATTTTATCTTGACTAACCATTCAATCAGAACCTCTAACAACTGCCAAGTTAGATTCAGTGTACCTTTTGAGAAAGAGAAGCAGATTTAAGATCCACAGTGAAAGGCTAAACAGCTTTGTCTTAGCTATGATTTCTGTATGCCTGCCGAGCATAAGCTCTCAAATGATCTTATGGTAGTCTTGAGTAGCACAAAGAAAACAGTCAGAAAAATCTAAGTTTTTGAAGTTCAGTCACCAACAAAAGATGCTTTCACTAATCCAAAAATATTTAATCTTTATTTAAACATCGAGAATTGAGATTTGAAGTGAAATTCACTGAACAAATGTATCTGCCTTCATTATCAGGTTGAAGTAAAAGCTCCTGTGGAGCACAAGAGTGAGGCTGTCAAGGTTTACTTTTGGTGGTTCACTGTTACAAGATATACAGATACCAGTGACTTCAGTTCAATTACCTGTTTGACAAGTGCAGAGATGCACTGAAACAAGGCAAGCATTTCATTTAGATGATTCAACTCAGTAACTTGATGGAAGTTAAATAGAGCCTGCAGAGAAGTCTTGCTTCCATATGAACTCTTCCAGGTATTCATTTCCCTCGCCGCAGTTGTCAGCACAAGTGTACACCACCAGCGTTCCCCAGTCAATACTCTCTCCAAGGCTGTCAACCTGAAGGTGGTTCAGGAGCTGTGGCATAATCTTCAAGGGAAAACAAAGGTTTAGAGGCAGAAAACGGCTCTCTGCCCGCTCCCTGCATCTCTTCCCTGGAAAGGGTCCTCCATTCATTTATGTTCTCTTTCTTACACCAAAATCCCAATCAAAACTACTTAGCAACACAGCAGCTCAAATAAAATAAATTTAGAATTCATAAAAGTAGATGCACAGGGAACGAAAGGCATGGTCTGACTTAATTGTACATCTGAACACTTCCAGCCAGACATATTTCCAACTGACATCTCAAAAGCTTTTTTAAATATACAATGCCAGACTCCTGTTACTTAAGAGATGGTTCCATATTCACAAGCCACCATTTTATGGACTGTGCATCAGATGGGAACCTGCCTTCTATATGTGAAAGTCTTATAGGAAAAAGCAGTTACAATAGTAAATAAGGGCTCCGCACAATTTACCAGTTACTTTGCAGCAACTTCAACTACTCTGCTCTAAGTGCAAGCCAACACCTATCCAACTAGATCCTGTTAAGTCTGAACTACATTACCTATGTTATCTTTAAATAAATTTACATACCTGGAATTCAAAAATCCTTTTGGCACCACATAAACAATTTGGGATATCTTTTTCTTCAGGAATATTTCCACCTGATACCCAGATTGGGCCTTCTCCTCCTCTGCAGTATCTAATAATCTGAAACAGAGCAGAAGTTTTAAATTCTCAAGACTGTCTTTTCCTCTTGGTATGAAATAGGTATTTACTGACATAGACAAAGCTGTTTGATGGTCCAGAAAAAGGCCAGTTCCTTGAAGTAATACCCATGGCTAAGTCTATCAGTTGCAAATGTGGCATTCTAAATACGACAGGTTCTTTATATAAAGTTTTCTTAACTATTTTAATCATGCAAGTATTTACACAGCATTTTTTCAGTGATCCAGGGATAAATTGCAATGATTTGTATTTCCCTAATTAAGGGACCCAGAAATGATAGGTCATGTATTTTATAACCTTGAGATGGAGGAAGAGCAGACTGATAATTTGCACATATAAGCGTACAGAAAACTCAGGAATGCAACCCAGCTCTTTCTATTTGCAGCTCTGTGTCTAAATGCAAAGGGAGTGTCCTAACGTCTGAGAAGGAGGTATTTTCAGACTTCCATAACCTTTGTTGTTCTGCTATTATCTAAATATTTATACAGCAAATCAGGCATTCTCAACAAGAGGACACTTAGGCAGATTAGTCAGTATGGGGTGGTCAGAGAGGGAGGTGATGCACCTACCCAAAGCAGAGGAGGGACAGACTCAAAGTGTCCTACTTCGTGGATGTGCACCCTCACCCCTCAGCTACCAGGTAAAACATGGAAGATAATTTCTTCTTCCTCCACCACTTTCATGGATTTAGGTCTGTGTTTCCTCTCAGTGGAACCAGGAACCATGTTTTTGTTTGACAACATGGCTTTTTTCAGCCTCTTGTGTTAGCAAGAAATAGCATGGGGGGAGATTTCTGTTTTAAAACTTGAAATTATAAAGCCATCACTGATTTCTTCAACCTTTAAAAAAGCAAAACCAATCCCCCCCCAAGCAGCTGGTGACTGTGACAGAGCTCCTCTCTGCAGTTTTGGTTCTGCTGAGAAGGAAAGACAGCAGTGCCAAAGGCTGGGGAAGGGAGTCATGGTTCACCACCGCCTTTGGTTAGAACCACTTCACAGGATAGCACATCCTCCTCTCACCACGTTGGCTTCAGCACCCCTGTGCCTTCACATTCTGACCAATTTCTGTTTGAGGTAGGTGAGCAGGTGCTAACTTGTTACTTCAGCATGAATCAAGCTCTGCATGTAGGGAATATTAGGGTGTGCTGGTTAAGATGTGTGGAGGATGAGGAGGCATCCCCATTGCCATTTCTAACCATAGGTACAAAAGATGGTGAAGCATTTGGCAGGTGCAGCAGGATGCTGTGCCAGAACCTGTAAGTTCTAAGGCTGCCCCATGTTCTGACCTGCTCTGAATAAACGTTTGGAAGATCTTGTCTTCTTCAGTCTCATGTTTTGCCATTGCTTCCAATGTCTCTTCATCTAAGGACTGAAATGCTGCACCTAAGCAAGGAAAAAACCCCCAAAGGTTACAGGCTAATGCAAGACAGTCAAAAATTAAAAACAATATTGCACCTGTAAGTACATTCTGCTCTCAAGAATCATTCCCACTGTCAATCACCAAGACTTGTCTTTTCTTTTTGTGACATATTAAGATTCAGTCACACACAGATCCATTTACTAATTCTATTTGCATTTTAAACACAGATCTCAGTACTGGAACGCTAGAAAGGGAAGGAGTTAATCTACCAAAGTTTATGGCTCCCAGTGGGTATTGCCAAGACTGCTGAAACTTCAGAATGTGACATATGGAAAAGGCCACCTGTGCCATGCATGTGCTGCACTTCAGTTTCTAGCACTGAAGAGTTTATCTGTTACACTCTGGTGTTCACGTGGAACGTGGAGCACCAAGCAGTCTCGAGACAGCTTTAGACCATGGTAAGGGACAGCTGGGAACCCAGCAGCCTTCCCCTGCAACACCACAAACTCTCCACCCTGGGGGTGTGCAAAGCCCGTGTGGTGAGCTGCAAACACATTGTGAATTTTGGGGGTGGGGAGCAGTGCCTGCACTTCAGCTGCTTAATTCAAGGTCAATTAACATAGCCTCAGAACAGCTTGCTTCTAGCACAGACAAGGAGATTTGTTATGTATTTTCCATAAATTAAGACAAATTGCACCAAGTCAAGCTCAGAGCACCTAACTCAATCCCCGGATTCCACCAGTGTCCAGCAGCAGATGGTCAGGGCCCTGTTTTTCTTACTGGAGTTGTTCCTTACCTGCGGGAAGCACACAGGGACACAGTGTAACTCCCAGCTACCTGCAGCTTCACTGCAGCAACAGCCGCTTCAACAGCTCTGGGGCTGGGGCTTAGTACGTCTCTCCCCTAAAAGCAACTCATATTACGGGATGTATAAAAAAAAACTTGCATCACAAATGACTGTAGATTTTGCCTTTTGTCACCAGTAGTTAACAATGAACACTTAGAAATCACAGCATTTTATAATTTAAAGATGTAATACAGGCTTCATTAGGAAGAATCGCAGACAGCATCTTATTTCTTACCCGCACTGCCTGTAGCTCTGAGTTCCTCTTGTTCTTTCAGGTCCTTTGAAGGATCAACAGTTCCTTGTTCATCACTAGGATCTACACTGCTGTCAGCAGGAGACTCTGGTTCCTCAGGTTCTATCAAAATTTCATATTCTGGAAAAAGGAATTCATTATGCTCTGGAATTGCATCCGCCGAGTCATCTACAAAACAGAAAACAGATACCACTTCACAACGTCATCTCGTATTGAGTGTCCTTCTCCCCAAAACCTGCACAGCAAACTACTTAGCAAAAATTCAGCACAAAGATTACACGAGCAAGACCGATTTACATCACTGCTACACCTGATTTAAAGATAAGGAAGTTTCTATATTAAGGACAGTAGGAAACTACAATAGGTGATGTGTTGCTTTGAATCTCTGTAAATCTATGAGACATGAAGACAGACTAAACAGTGTTAGCAGCTGCATTTTAAAAACCAAAACCCGCAGTTTGACAGCTCTGTACATATCTCATTCTGACTAGCATATGCACACAAATCAAGTGTGCATCAGGTGCCCTGAGGCCATACCACTTTTTCTTATTTTTCCTTTGCATATTGTTCAGCAAAAAACACAGCTAGTATACCTTCAGGAACAGCGGTATTAACTAGGTGCTGGTATGTTTCAGGTTTTCACAGTTTCAATTAAATGTTTCAAATGCCTGACCCATACCTTGATTTGCACAAACCAACTTTTAACATTCTGTTTATTTGCACTTCTACAATCAAAGTTTTGGGTACTAGCATCCCACACTGTACAACGGGAGATAACATTACATGCACGACTTTTCATCCCACCATCACTAATGTGATACTTCTGACGACTAAAAAAATACTTCAAATACTTTGTACTCATCCCTTTAACAATCGGCAAACAAACAAGCGTATGAATGATGCGAGAGGATGGCTTAAGGAAAGGGTCTCTCCAATGGCACACTCACTGGAACAGGTTGCCCAGAGAAGCTGTGGATACCCCATCCCTGGAGGTGTTCAAGGCCAGGCTGGATGAGGCTTTGAGCAACCTGGTCTGGTGGAGGGTGTCCCTGCCCATGGCAGGGGGGTTGGGACTCGATGATCTTTGAGGTCCCTTCCAAACCATTCTATGATTCTATACTCTTTCCATCTACTGGCCTTCACCCGTACCCTGTGAAGGCATCACCTTTGTTCCTTTACGATTTATGAATGAGCCACCTTAAAAGTAGCCTGCAAAGGGAAAAATTGGTCTACATCCTTTCAGCTTTTTATGACATAAAGCAGAAAGAGATCTTTGAAAGAGACCAAAGGTATGCCTTGTATTTATTAGCCTCCCAGGAGTAACAAAGAACTCACAGTCCTACTGAAGTAAATATCTAATGGGGGAAAAAAAGCACCTGAACAAATTACCGAGAGCTTCCTCGCAGATCACAGCACAACGCAAACGACACGAGCTGGCTTTTCTTTCCTCTGCGGGCCATTACCCCCCTAACAAGCAAGCCCGGCCCCCTGAAAGGCTTTGCCGCAGCACTGTTTCTCGGTGAACACGGGGCCACCAGCAAACCCCCGACCCACCTCCGGCGGC